TTGCTTATAATATATATTTCTTTGGAAAGTTCCTTTTACCAAGACTAAAATTGTATTTCAACATAATACATTACATATGAATACTACTACTTTGATAGTACAAATTTTTATGTTTCAGTAAACAAGTTTTTAAAATAAGTAGCAAGGAATCCAAAAAAATTATAATTTCTATTAGAAAGCTATTTAAATTGTTTTAAATTTTTTACATTATTTTTTTAATTAATTTAGTTTTAAACCACTCAATAGGACTCTTAATATTTGCTGGAATTAAAACTTCGCCTCATTATGGTCGTTACATATCATTCTTTCTAATTGGATGAATAATGATAAATAAAATACTGAGATTTCTAATATTTCAAGCAAATATTTTTACATAATGATTAGATACTTATTCAATTATTTGGAAAAACTTTGAGCATCTTCCTACACCGAGTATTGACTATTCAGCCAGTAGTATTTTATCAAATGGAACTATTGTTTATATCAGTGGACGAGAAGATACTGTGAACAAATTACACATATGCTCTTTGTAAAAATGAATAATGTAAATAAATTATATTAATTATTTTAAATTACTGTATGTTCATAGAATTACATTTTCAAATAGATTATACAAAAAAAGATGAATGGTCATATATGGTATGTATTTAATTTATTATAATTATAATTAATTCTAGGATTTCTAAATTGATTTTCGAATTTATTTTGCTTCTGTGTAAATTATTTAAATTATTTAATTATTTTTTATTACGATAATTCCATTTGGTAAGTAAATACGTAGTTTATAGTAATGACGTGACATTTATCAAATTTTTTAGGTTACGATTTTGATATTCGTACGTAAATACAGTAAGTATAAAGATTGTGATCTCTTGTACTTTTTATTTTTCGTAAAAAAAAAATTCCGTGAATTCTGGAAAAATTTACATATTCATAATAAACAAATTGAAATATATATATTTCCTTAAAAAGTTCAATTCACTAAGATAAATGTAAAGAATCAACGAACTCTTACCCTTATGAAAAAGTTTCATCCATGATTTTGTACAGACTTATTGCTTGTATAATAAAAGCTTAACCAGTTAAAAGAGAAATGAAATTTTTATAATATTTATTACAGTTTTAACAATTAAATTAGTAAAAATGACGTAAGTAGATAGTTTAAAAATCCTAATTTAATAGTAAAATTCTTTATTCTCTTCTCGCATTTCCTTATTTCATTACACAAAATAAATAAAAAATTGGAAAATAAAAAAGAAATGTTATTATTTATCATTATTATAATGATTATCGCTTTTATTATTAGTTTTCTATGCGAATATTTATTTTCAAAGATAATAGATGATTCCAAATTGAGAAACCTGTTTTCATCAATAGAACAAAATCATCAAAATCATCAAGACAATTACAACAACAACTGCAACAATGATAACAATAATAATATTCTTAATAAAAATCCGAATTCATTGGAACAAGTAATTCATGAACACTATAGTGAGGACGATAATGATGAAGGTAAAGAGAAAGATCTTGATTGTGATGTAAGAGAAAATGATGATAAAGATGATAAAGATGATAAAGATGAGAAGGATGAGAACGACAAAGAAAGAAAAGAAGTTATTGCCGATGTTGAAGATAAAAATAGAGAGATTTTGAAATATGGATATTATTATTGAACTTCACGTATGTGATTTGCAATGGGGAATTAATTTTTTAAAAAAAATAATAAATTTATTCTTACTGTATTTAATTTCAGAAAAAAAAATAAATAGAGGTGTTTATATATGTATTGATCCCCATTTTTCGATTTGCTTTCTTACGGACGGAAAGATTGAAAATCCATAAAGAAAACTTTCTGGCCTCAAAACAAAATATTTATTACACGCGTCCAAAGTCTTTCTAGAATCAACAAATATATTTTTTCTCTTTTCTGTTGGATTAAGTGATGTTGCAGTTTAAAGATTAGGATTTCTTGTGAGATGAATATAATACAATTTATAAAGTTATTCAAGTCATTTGAATATTCGAAATATTTAACAAAAATTAATTAATTAAATAATATTAATTAATAATTAATTAATATTAACAATTAATGATATTATCTGCTTGCTGTAATAGTAAAGTGATTAGCCAGGTACGATGATTTTCTGCTGTGATAGGACCTTCAATTATGTGATACCTTTCTTTGATAATTTTTATAAAATTTAAAATAATCAATATAAAATACAACGAAAAACTCGTTCTACACTACAACTAGAAATTGGAAGTCATATATAATCTAATGTAATATTAGCATAATTACAAAACGTAATCCTTCTATCCTCTATAAAAACACGGATGTTCATTTATGAGTAGTTATAGAAATATCTTTTTCGTATAAATGCGTTTTGATAAAATATTTATTATGAAAATTTTCATTGTCCCTGTGATTAGGAATTTGTACATATGCAATTTGATATATCAATATACCTAATGTGTATTTCTCTCTACTGCTCTTTCTTATCTGTTCTCTATGTATGTACGTTCTCTCTATTTATTCTCTATCTATTCACCCGATTTATTCTCCCTATTTGTTCAATAAAACTTACTCTTCACATGAGATGCATATACGCTTTGTTGTGCGGTTTGTATTTAGCCACATTATTTATCACTAATCTAATTAATCTAATTACACCAATTACATATATATGTTACAATTACATATGTTCTGCAAGTAAAAAAAAAATAAACATTATAAGAATAGAAATTTACCACATGGATTTCATCAATAATAATAATAATAATAATAATCAGTTATCAATAGATTAAGAAGTTTTTTCTTATCTTTTAGAAATAATTTGAGGGAAAGGAATAACTCAAAATTAATAACTTACATTTTACGTAAGTGATTCAGTTCAAAACGAAAAAAATAAAATAAAATAAAATTAGTTAAAAAAAAAAAACAAATAAAATAATAATCAAATTTTTATTATTTCTTTCAAAATAATTAGAAGATAGATATTTCAACTAGCTGATTATATTCGATAATTAATTCTTGACAACAAGAAAGAAATTAAAAAAAATTTTATCAAAATTAAGAAAAATAAAATAAAAAAAATGGAATATTTACAAATAATTTTCCCAATTCTTACTGGAGTAATTACTTTCTTCATTGTGTTCATTATCGATTTGATTACTTTCAGAACATCGAAACTACACAAAGAACTACGAGAAGAACAACAAGAACAACAACATAAAGAACGAGAACGAGAGCGAGAACAACGTAGAGAAGAGAACATAAGGAATAAAAAGAGCTTAAAAAATTTAAAAAGGATAAAATAATTTGTAAGAATGTAAATTTTATTTTGATACAAATTATATCAATTTTATTTCTCAGTTAATATTTCAGTTTTATTATGATCGAAAGAATTTTTTTTACGAGGGAGTTAAATAAACTAATAATTTTGTATATACAATAAAATTAATGAGACAATTAAATTGAAATTGAATTAATGATGCAAAAATAAAAATAATAATAATAATAATAATAATAATGTCAGGTTTGACAATTTTCTGTTATAAAATATGTAATAAATATTTCATCAAAATTTACTCAGGATGACTGAATTGGAATATTTATTATCATTTACCTGTATTTATTATTCGTTCTTTGTTGTAAAAGCCACATCAATTCAATTTAATACTTCAATTATCCTTATATTGAATAATGAATAATGTTATTTACTTTACTACATAAAGTATATTTGATTCTTTATTTATTTTTTTTTATTATCAAATTCAAAAGTATTGAATGGATAGAAAATAAAAATTAAAAATTAGAAATAAATGAAATAAATGAATTTGTTAATGGATAAAAGATTAAATCAAAGTAGGTGAAGAGGTGAGAAATTGAGAAATTGAAAAATAATTCGAATAATAGAAGGTTAATGATAATTTTATAAAGAATGAAATAATTATCACTTCCATTTATACTTTAATTTCTATAACAGATAAGATAAATTTAACAATAATTTTTGTAAAATTTGTAAATTTGTTTCGTTTCGATTATTACAAAGTAAACATTATTACTTTATTAGACTAGGCTACCTTATTACAAGTGTAGGAGATAACACAAGAAATAACACAAGAAATAAATGCAGGAAATAACACACAAGAATACAATTATAGATAGAAAATTTTTATATAGAAAAAAGAAAAGAAAATTTTTCGCTATAAACAAAGTATTCAAAATTCTATATATTGTATTCACTATTCACTATTCAAATTCCCAATAGAATACGTTATTCACAATAGGAATACTGTATATTGTAGTAATTTCCTTCTTAATTCTTTCATTTTTTTTCATCTATTACACTGCGAAAATCTCCATCTTCCGCTTGAATTTTTGAAATCTTAAAATTTGCATTAACGTAAAAATGAATTATTGTAAAGGATATATTTGAAATTAATGTATTGAAAATTATTGGTTTGTATTGAAAAGTAGTAATTCATAAAAGAATGTTCGATAAAGGATATGTGTTATTGTAAATAACAATGTATTTTATGGTAAATTGCATACTATTAATATATATACAATGGTATTTAATATTTAGGTGGCGCAGGAAAACGTAAAATCTTACATAAATCTTGTGATAGTAAATAAATAAAAAAAACGATCGACTAGGCTTTATTTTTTTCTCATTTTTAGAATTTCTGGTGGTTTGTTGTTGTTGTTAACTTTCATTTGTTTCATCGTCTTCGTCTTTTATTATTCGAACCACTTTATTGTACTTGGTATTTTTCTTTTGGTAAGCGAAAATATAATTGTTTTTCTTTAATATTAACAAGTGAAATATGTACAGTATAGTAAAGAAAACTAAAACGATCATCGTGTGAATATAAAACGAGTGTTATATTCTTTTTTAAAAAGAGAAACTTATAACAAATTTTATTTATTTATTAAATGTTCATATATATCATAAAATTTTAACCTTTAACCATCACAGCTAAAGTAAAAAAACATGGCTACTGAACAATATACATCTACTAACACTGGTCGTAATGTTCGTAAACGATTACATTCCCCTGACTATTCGGATAAAGAGTTTACCAGATCCGATAATAGCAACAATAACGCTACTGCCAAAGAGCAACCTTCATCAATACAAAATGAACCAGAATATATTCGAACACCTAAGAAACCAAAGATGAAAGTAACAACTCCGGCTTCTTCTTCTTCCTCAACCACTTCAACTAAAGGAACAACGAATAAAGCAGCAACTACTAAAGTAATAAATTCTAAAATAACAACCTCTAAAGCAACTAATTCTAAATCAACATCACAAAAACGAACCATCGTGTCTATGAGCAGCAGAAAAAAAGCTTCGCAACCGCAATGTCAACATCCCAAACATTCGATTTATGAGTCAAGTCCTGCCGCAGTTAACAACAATAAAAAATTAACTGATAACAAGAATAATAACAGTAAAAAGAAAAAGTCCAAAGAAGAATATAGTAATAAATTATATAGTGTTTATAAACGCTTTGACGGTCTTTTTAATATTGGGAGTGGAGCCATGATGTGCAGAAGGTGTCTTCATAGAACCGATAGAGACCCCGAGGTTTGTATTTAAATTAATTTAAAACTACTTTAAATAACGTTAATTTTCATTGCACATTCTTTATATTTTATTTTTATGTATTTTATAGTACACATCACATCCAAATTATGTCTCAGCCAAATCTATTTATAAAGTTAATGAACGCAAGAAACTAGTCATTGAAATGAAGGGAGTAGATTTAGATGATTAATTTGGCACCGCTTAACTTTTTTTTTTTTTTTTTTTTTTTTTTACAGCTATTTGGTATCTTTAAAAAATTATAATTTCTATAACTACAAAGTATTATTTCATATTTTCATTAATTGCTTTTTACTCTTTTATATATTTTTTTTATTTTCTGATAAGTAAATATATTAAAATAAATAAAAAATTTTTAGTTTTTGTTATTTTTACAACGGTTTTTCACAATACATAATCACAAAATATTATTCCATATTTTCTTAACTATTTTTGAGGAATAAAAGATTATGAATGTGATATAAATAATACAATACATTCATACTATGAAAAAAAAATTTTTGTCGATATTTTTTTTTTTAAAAAAAAAAAAAAATGCAAAAATTTATTTGTACATAACACAAGTTGAAAGCATTACCTTGTATGGTTAAAAAATCAATATTGAATATATATAAGGTATATCTGAAAACTAGTAAAAACTAGTAGAATTAAAACTAAACCATAACTGAACTCGACTAAAACTACTAAAACTATACTAAAACTATAACTAAAACTAAATTAAAATTAAAATTAAAATTAAAATTTAGCACTTGTAGAACTAAAACTAAATTAGAACTAAAAATATAACTACACGTGTGTATTCTTTATTTCGTTCGGAAATATTGAGTGTAACCTTTAAGAAACAATCAACAATGTGATTTAATAAATTAAATAACGTGACGATTTTTAATTGGTTGATTTATTAAGAAAAAAAATTGTACAAAGATAAAGATTTGCATGAATTAGTAACACAGTCTGTGCGACAATTTTAACTTTTGTAGTTACCCATCAAAATCGTTAAAATTCTATTTCACACAAACTCTTCATTTTATCCGTACTTTCAAAAAATCCACTTTCTCTTATCTTATCTGATGCAATGAAATCGAAACTTTGAGGCCATTGACAAGTGATAAGGTTATTCCTTTACCTTTTAGTTGTAGAATGCCACAAAAATTTTAAAAATTTTCAGCCTTTCAAAAAGGTCATTCATTATCTGTGGAGAACACATTGAATAGAATTACATCGTTGATACTCTAACGAATTAGATGAAGTTTCTGAGAAAGTTCATATTTCACCAAACAATTATGAATCTTTTGATACAAAATCAGAAATATGTATTATTATTTTTGTAACTACTTGATTTTACCTGATTTACCATTTGTACACAGTTAAAAAAACAAATTCAACAAATAATATGTTAACTTTATTTGAAATTGACTCAATAAACAAGAAAGTAAGTAAATCGTGAAGAAAGTAATCTAGTTATTGATTTTATTTAACAGTTAAAGAATTACAAATGAGAAAAAAAAAACTAAGCTCTTATTTAAATTTATACATTTGAATTTGTTACTCCAAGAAACCAAATTTTGACACCAAGATCAAATTATACATTATACATTATACATTTATACATTATATTTATATTATTGAATAAATTTTTATATCAGTTCATCAACGTCCACCACTACCGTTCGTTATAGCTACATTCGCTCTAATACAGTAATCAAATATATATTTGCATATTTGCATATTTCGTGCCGTTGGAATAATGGAGCTTTACAAATTTTCCATTTTTTTTTTTTGGAGCATATTTATTTTTCATTATTTTTCATTATTTTTTTCATTATTTTCCATTATTTTTCAGGGGAATTTTTTTTTGTTCTTTTTACATTGTTAGATGATTTCTAATCCTTAGATGATGTGTTATTAATTATCCGCTATACCTTAAATTCGTGTAATATGTGATCACTGAGTAATATATTTTTTTTTTGTATAATACACATGACCTAGATTTACAAAATACTTATTATAATCTCAACAATATAGGTATAGAAGATGATGATGAAATTGATGATTAAAGCTTTTTTTTTTTTTAGTTCTTGAGAAAAAAAAATATACCAATATAAAATCCTTTTTCTAAAAAATTAATATCTTGACTACTATTCATCATAATTTCCATAGCACAAATTGATAATAATTTCTTATAGAAAAAAAAATCATATATATTGGAATATATCGGAATTAAAGGAGAAATGTCAAATTCACAATTCTTTTCAAATCAATCCGGGCATTATTTTAGAAAAAAAAAAAAAATAAAAATAAAAAGCCAAGATGACATTATGTGACATGTAACATGTATGTAACGACAATAGGGGGAAAATTTCAATTAATTGAAAAGAAAAAAAAAAAAAGGTTCGACGCCATAAAATAAATTAAGACGTCTCACTTTCACTACTTGAACCCTCAGAATCAGAACCAGATGAATTAGAACTTAGACTTTCAGAAGATTCTCCGCTCGTACTTTGGCTACCAGGAGAACTTTCATTTGAATTATCTGGATTCTCATTTGAAGCTTCAGTAACGGGAGACGGGAGTTTTTGATCGAACTTCACCAATGCATCTTCCAAAGCCTTAATACGTTCTTCATTATCTAGGTTTTGATTATTTCGAGGTCTCTTAGCAGAAGGTTGACTCTTTTTACCTTTTCCTGCCTTGGGGACATTTTTCATGGTATAATCGTAAATTTCCCTGGCCAGTTGAGGATCAAGTTCGTCGATTTCAAATGAAACTTCACCTTGATCATCTTCTTCTATTGGTGCATTTCGATCTCGCACCAAATTAATGATATACGCCATGGATTCTTTAGAAAGTAAAACAATCTTTTCAGAAAGATTCTTTTTCTGATTTTTAGTTAAACCTTTAGGTGTACCAGATGGACGACGTCGTTTTGGTCTCTTGGCACTCCCAACCGCAACTGTTTTTCCATGAACTTTATTCGAAAGTTTTGCTACTTCATGCTTCAAAGCTTTCTTTGATTTAGAAGATTTCTTTTTCTTTATTAATTCAATTTGTCGTTGCACAGCTTTCAAATGCTCCTCCAACCCTTTCCATTTTTCAACTTGACTATCGCTATCATCCTCTGAAATACTATCGTCTGATGAATCTTCCGCAACATTTTTTGAACGAGATTGAGTCGCTGATGTCTTCAGTTTTTTTGATTTTTGCCGTGAACTATTATTTACAATAGGTTTATTAGCCCATTTCTTATCAAAGACAGCTTCAAGCATTTTACCCATATTTGCCACCTCACTATTAGGTCCATTATAAACATAACAATTTCGAAACATCAAACGAACGTCCGCCTCAAATTCACCAACATTCGAATATTGTTCATTATCTAATTTTGAACTGATAGTAGTTATATCCATAGGATGTGTTATAATTTTATAATAATCTGGAATTCCTAATCTTTCAGCGTCTACGGGTTCATAGAAAGGGTAAGCATATGACCAATGAACCTTTTTTTTCAACTCTTTCAAAGTCTCACGACAATAATTTATTTCAGCATTTGATTTGGTCTTTTTACGTTTCACAGCAGGAGAATCAGGAAGATCTTTAGAAGTAGGCTTAATCGTCCTCTTTGGTCTTTCAGTAACTTCAGATGTTGTCGTCGTCGTCGTCGTCGTCATCGTTGTTGTTGCAGCAGCAGCAGCAGCAGTAGTAGTAACAGCAGGAGTTTTGCAACCTTTATTAGCAAGTTTTGAAGATTCAGCTTTTGAACCTTGTTCTTCAATAGCACCAGGCATTTTTTCAATTTGTTGAGTGAACAAATTATTAAGTTCTTTTGCGAATAGAGCGAACTGATGTGAAACACCGTTATAAGTAATACAATTGCTAAAAACAAGCCTAACTTCAGCTATAAATTCGTTCACATTTGAATATTCGAAGTTATTGAGCTTTTTTTCGACAGTACCGAGATCCATAGGTTTCTTGATGATGTCAAGGTAATCGGGGATCCCAAATTTTACTGGATCAACGGGGTCAAGGAAAGGAAAAACATTAGGGTGACGTTTTAGGACCTTTAGAGCCTCATAACAATATTTACAATGTTCGCGAGACATATTTTCTTTAAACCAGTCAGATTTTGGAGATTCGTTTATAGTATCGATCGATTGTTTTTTGTTTTTACCCATTTTTAACGAATTAACGAAAAAAAAAGAGGGGATCAAAAGTACAACAAATAATACGGGTAGGGATAAATTTATTTTAGATCAGAGACAAATCAATGACGGATTATTGTGTAACAGCGAAAAAATTCTTCAAAAAGGTCAAGTAAAGTGACCCAGCCAATCGACTCCTCAAAAAAAAGAAAAAAAAATAAAATACGTCAAATGATCACGACATTAACCCATACGGAAGAGCTACACAAAAGGAAATTTGACACAATTTTTAGTATAACTAGTATAATGAAGAATAACCAAGTATAACACAAGGATAACACAAGGATAACACAAGAATAATAGGAAAGAGAATACAAGAATAATGGAAAAGATAACACCAAAAAAAAAGGGAGGATAAATAAATCAGAAAAGGAATAAGAGCGAAGCAAGCCTAATTGGCTGAACAACAAACATATCACGTATAAATCATGTGACTAACATCAAATAATATTTAAAATATTCTATTTCAAGTATATTTTAAGACAAAATTTCTCTTAAATCATCTAAAGTTTTTATCAAAGTTTTCCTAAATATCACACTATCAGTTTCTTTACATTTTTTATAACTACTAATAGAAAATCTTAATTTATCAGAATTAATCATGTAACAAACTCCATAACCATCTGGTACCACTGCACCAAATCCACAAATAAATTTTACTCCAAGACTCATATTTGATGTAGATAATTTATAATATGATGATTTTTGATATGAAAGATCATTGAATAATGATGCATTTTCTTTTTCTTTATCAGATTGCAATTGAGTACGAAGACCCAATAAATGACGGTCTACACCTTTACCTATAATATAATAAATAAATCAAATAAATAAGTATAAAGAAAAAAAGAATGAATAAAAATGAAGAAATAATTCATACCATTTACAGCGGCGATCATATATTCAATATGAGATTTAATAGCAGTTGTAAATAATTCAATTTTTTTTTCTTTCTATAAAAGTAAATATTTAAATAATATTAATAATGTTATATGTTGATTATGATTTTTATTATATTTATTAAATCATATTTATTAAATTATTAGATTAATTAAAAAAATTTTAATAAATTAAAATAATAATAATACCTTAATATCTTTATCATCAAAATCTTTAGTAAATGCCAAACTATCTATAGAACAACTTCTTACAGTTTCAGTACGACCATGTAAAAATCCTCTTGTCGATGCAGATTCATAAGTAGCACATGGTTCACCATATTGACGATAATAAGCAAGTTGTATTGCCATTTGAACAAACGCATCAGGACTATATTTAACTATTATTCAAGAAAATATTTAAATATTTAATAATAACGATAATAGTGATAGTGATAAAAGATGACTAACCACTCTTGAGCCAATTAGATCCATATTCATGATAATATAGTAAAACAATGTCAACATTATCAATCGCATTTTGAATATTAATCTGTGCACTATGTATAATATCGTTTATGGTATTGTCAATTACCCAATTCAAATGTTGGGGAGTCGGTAAAGAAGTAGAAGTAGAATTTGGAGGATCCTTTGCAGGTTCGCTTTTATAATAATAAAGGATAAAAGTGAAATGGTGATGATGGTGATTATGGATGAATAATGATATAAAAATAAAAGAATGTTTCTTATAGAAATAATAATAAATATCCAATTATGTAATATTTCTCCATTATTTTTACACACTTTGACACAATATCATTAAATATGAGTCCACTAGCTACTGCATCTGAAGGAGTGTGCTATAATGTGAATAGTGAGATAATGTGAATAGTAAGATAATGTGAATAGTAAGATAATGTGAATAGTAAGATAATGTGAATAATGTGACATAATGTGAATAACGAAGAATAGAAAGGTAATAATCAATTAATAATATAAATATCAAAATTAATAATAATAATAATTACCTCACAGTTAACACCAGCTTGACCATTATTTTGTAAAATAATTTGAATTGATTTATCAAACCATCGATTTCGTCCATTAAATGCATGAAAACTATTATGATGTGAAATATCTTTATCAACAGAATAATCATCTAACGCTACGACAAATAATGCATTGTCAATTGTTTCTAAATTGACTTTATTTTTTGGATTAGTTTCAAGTTTATGACGAGTCTATTTATAATACAATATGATATAATGTATTACATTAATTTAATCCGTCATATTAATTAAATTATATTAGATAATGATAATTTACCTTTGCCCAAATATCACGATGTTCTCCCGTCAATAATCCAATTGGTGGTTGTAATTCAGAATTATTATTATAATTATTCACTCGTTCAATTAACAAATGTAATTGTCTTTTAATACTATCAATTGATACTCTTTCACCTCTTTCACCTAATACTTGAACTTTAAAAATTTGATCCTTATAAATTACAATAATATGTTTAGCAATTGAAGGCCAAGTTGTTATAATTCTATCAACAGGAAAATCCGGAATACGACTAACACCAAATTGCCTTTTATATTGATTCATACATAATGGTCCTTGACGCGTTGATTCGGGTGGAATTGTTTCACTAATTAAATATTAAATTAAATATTAAATTAAAATATTAAATTATATATTAAATTACATATTAATCATATATTATATTAATCTATTATATTATTTATTTTTATTTATTTATTTAATATTATATAATATAATTATATTATTAATTGATATTTATCTATTTAAATATTAAAATAAATAAATTAATAATTATTACTTGTTTATTGCTTCATTAAAATTCAACATATTAGATATAAATCCTGCAGCTCGATTAATTTGAAATTCTGATATTTGTCCATTTGGTGGTGGTGGATTGAGAATTCCTGTTTCAGGATCTTCAAATACTCCCCACCAATTAACATTTATCAAAATTGGTTCTCTCCATTCAAGATATGCTTTATTAAGCCAAATGATTTCAATCCAATTATACTATATAATTACGAATATAATTTACAATTGTAAGTATTGAGAATATATATTATTGTGACAATAATTGTGATGATAATACAAAGAAACAGAAATTTACCGGTTCTACTTTATCAAGTTCATAAAGTCTACCTTGAAGAATTTCTCCAATACCATTTTTCATAAATTCATCAACTGCAATTATTGCATTATTATATTCTTCGGTTGATAAAAGTGGAATCAAGGTTTTTTTATAACGATCTAGTGTTTCATGAAGAGTTGGAATAGGTTGGCGAGGAATATAATTTTGTTTAGAAAATGTTTTTATATTATTGGATTCCTCCATTTTCTCCATTTGAGTTTTAGCAGTAGTAACAACAAAATTTCTTAATTTTATCGCTTTTATCGAATTTATCGAATTTATCGAATTTATCGATTTTATTAGCGGTCTATGATGAAAATAATTAACATTCTTGACTTTATTTTTAATAATTGATGAAAACATGTATTTTGATGAATTAAACGAATTAAGTAAATTAAAAGAACGAGTCACCATTTTGAATTAACAAAGATTAAAGATAATCATTTTTTATATTTATTTATGACGAAATGTTGTTTGTTATTATCTGTTACACGTATATCTAGTAAATGTGATAAAATAGTCTGGCAGACTTTGTTTATCGGAAGCATAACAAACTAGACTGGAAACCATGGATAACTGTTACAGAATAAATTAGTCGCAGTACAGCAGGGCAGTGTTGTCAAATTTGCATGTCCCCGGCTTTTTTGACTGTCCTTGTGTCCCATGTCCCACTGTCCCTACCCTTAACCAACCCATAAAAATCAATTTCAAACAACTTTAATTAATAGCCCAAAGCAGATTTTTAAGTAAACTTTTGCTCATTTGCATTTTAAAAAAAATAATTTTTGTTCCAATATTGTCCTGAAGGTGTCCCTTGACAACACTGCAGCAGGGTATCAAGACTGAAAATATTATTAAAAAAATAAATGCTAATTGTGATGGTTAAAAAAACCAAATTTCGGATACCTATCGGGACCCGAATATTGGACACCTTTCAGAGACCCAATAGGTATATAATATAAATTTTAAATTAACTATTATCGTAGCTACATATAAACCTTTTTAATTTTATAATTAAATTGTCAGTACACTACTAAGTAAACTTGTAGATAATAATAATGTGCATTTACTGTAGAAATATTATCTCTATATAATTAAAATTTAGAGACATATTAACGTTTTAATTCCTATAGCCATTCAAAAATTGATCACATATAATTCTTTAATTTTAAAGAATTAGGTCTAATATTTCTACAGTCAATCCATATTTTTATTATCTGAGTCTACTTAGTGCATTTTTGTGATTAGATTATATAATTAAAAATTTTATATGTAGCTACAATTGTAAATTATTTTTGATTTTATAAAAATATAAGATTTCGATATACTATAATTCATCAAAATATAAAATTGAAAATAATTTGCAATTGTAACTACATATAAAAGTTTTTAACATATGGACAAATTGCTATAATATAATGTGATTATTAAATGTGATTACTGATATAATAATTATAGTGACACAATTATAATTTTATTATTATGCAATTAATTTATGAATAAAAATAATATATGACATTTAATATACATAAATAAATATATTATTGCATAATGCCATCCTACAAACCATTTCCTTGTCACCTTTGTAATTGTTCATATTTATCAAAATCTTCACTTATACAAGTCAAATATAAAAAATATGTTATACTGAAAAGGAATTCTAATTTTAGTTGATTTATAATATAGAATATAATAGAACAGTCAATTGTTATCAATTTTTAGCTAATTTATTATATATAAATTATCATTTGGTACAGTAATTCTTTTGTATTTGACTAGTATTAGCTTATATAAAAACTTAAAATACAAGAAAAATCAAATTGTTCCTCATTATCAATATTTTTCATATATTTCTAAAAATATTCAAAATCATTTTTATATTGTAATTCTCTGAAATATTAATAATAAATTAGATTTCCATCAAACAACTGAAAGTGTAAAATGATTTTAATGGAGCTTTTCCAAAAATTTATTTTACTCTCTTTTTTCAAATACACCAGAATTTTATTATAAACCTTTTATAAGAAAATATTGTTATATTTTTAAGGAACAAAATAGATATCGTCATGTATTCAATGTAACAATGTTCTGAAGAATAGAGAATTTTCTCTAACAAAAACTAACAAAAGGTTATATAATTATCATGCTATTTCTGATAATCCTACTTGATCAATTATAGCAAATTACAGAGTTATGGAAGAGTGTTAACTTGGAGTAAATTCTTTATTGTGACAAAGTTTTTATAATATCAAGTTAGTTTGTAATTTAACAAGGTATATATGTAAAAGATTCAAAGTCAATAGATTATACAAAAACTTTATTTTAATATTAATCTTTATTAAAATAAATACAAAAATATATAAAAAATGAATAAGATATATGATAATAAATAATGAAAGATAAGTATATAAGAATGATAAAAGAAATAATATTTATTAAAAGAATAAATTAGAAAACTGTTTAGATATTATATAAAACTTGAGAAACATTTTAAACTGAACTGAACTAATTAACTAACTAATGAAAAATTAAAGCTAAAGAGATTTGTATTATATCTTTTTGACACTTTTTGTGCTACAAATAAACTATACTATTTTCTACACTAGATTAATTCTTTATCAAGTAATACAAATAATATTATCAAAGATAATTTCACTACTATCCTCAGATATCTTACTTGGATATTTCCCTAGGTATCATATCTAGTGTTACCTTTACTTTTGTTAATTATTTTTATATTTTATTATTATATATTTTATATTGTATATTTATTATTTTATTATTATCTATTATTATTTCTTATTATTATATGTAGTATTACAGTAGATTAATTTATTAGTCTGCAGTACAAATTAAATATTATTACTAGATTTCTAAATTCTTGTAAATCTGTAACACTAGAATATAAATTAGAGTACAAGCCATAGTATGAGTTAATATTTCAATTAAAGTACAAGTTAAATTAATAGTTAAGGTACTAGTTAGAATATTAATATAGATATTAATGAAGTTTTCAATCAAATTATAAGTTAGCTTAACAGTCAAATTTATAATGTATATAAAAGTTAAGAATTTCCTTAACTCAGTTTTCAGTTCAGTTTTTAGTTTCGTAGTTCATCCTAGTTTTTTAGTTTTTCAAGTTAGTTTTCAGTTAGAATTTATTAAGTAATAAAATTAATATTATAAAATCCTTTAAGTTCCTTATTTATTATATTCTTTTGATAATTAATAAACTGTTTGTTCCTATTAACAAGTCTTTATACCACTGTTAATAGTAAATGCACTTTTTTTATAATTGATCGTACATAATTCTTTCTATGTATAAATTTTTAAATTGTGATTGTTCTATTTTGAGATTAGTAATTCTTATAATTTTATTTAGTTTTGTTTATTAATTTAATATTATATTATTCATTGTCTTTGTAATTATAAAAGGTTTATATAGATAATAATTTGATGATGATTGTGAGATATCAAATTCTTTTTTATTCTAATTAAGAGATATTTTATTAGTATTTTAGTTATTAGTTTTGTGAAATTTTGAATTTTTTTTAAATAGTATTTAGATTTGTAAAATAGTTTATTAGTGTTATATGAATAGTATTATACAATTGAATAATTTAATTAATACATTTTTCTTTGAATATAATAACAAAGTAAAATATCAGGAAATTTAATTAAACATAAATTTATGAAAATATTACATGACTTCTGAAAATTTATACCTAATTAAATTTCCTAATAAAAAAATAGTTTAATAAGCTAGTAGTAATTATCTCTATACTTTCAATCCCCAACAACTTGAAAAATTAGAACAAATTAAAATTCGACTTCATCATCTTTTTAATATTAAAGATATTTATATAGTAATTTTAAAACAAATTTCTGAATTAGATTAGTTTTTAGTAATAGCCTTCATCAGGAAATTTTTAAAGGTAAAATATTTTGAAAATTTTTGTCTTGTTAAATTTTTGAAGTTATACAATACCTTTGTAAATTTTTGAATTTTTTTGTTTCATTTATTTTTAAAAATTTTTGTATATATTTTTGTAAATCTCTATTTATTTTTGTATATATTTATAAAATTATTATAATAATATATTCGAAATTTATATATAAAACATTTTAATATTTTATAGATTTTTCTGAAGCTAAATAGTTAATTGCAAAAATAAAATACATATTGTAATGATATTATTATTAAATATTAATTATTTATTAATTGTTTATTTTATAATTATTTTATTAATTTAATAAATTTTTAGAATATTCTATATAATTAAATACATTATTATATATATATTTTGTTTTTATTATTCTTCATCATCTTCATCTTCTTCGTTGTTATTGTTATTGTTATCATTATTATCACCATCATTGTCATTATCATTGTCATTATTATCGTCATCACCTTTATTATTATCTTTATTATCTTTATTTATTTATTTTTTTATTAATAGTTTCATGTGCTTTCTTTAATGCATATTTTCAAATTTCTGCAAATGGGAATTATAGGTACTACCCAAATTCAAAATGTTAAATCCCAAATCCCAAATTCCAAATTACTAATTATCAAAATCTCAAATCTCAAATTATATCAAATCCCAAATCCCAAATACTATGAAAATTGAATTTTAGTAACCGAAATACCAAAATAATTTGAAATCTGGATAATATGTATAGTGAAGATATCACATTATCAATATTCTCAGATTTATTTTTTCATTTTTTTTAGTTTTTTTTCAAAGGTAAAGAGACTAAAAGTAAAAAAAATAATTCTTATATATTCTCCTCTGCTTCAATTTCAATTTCTTTATTTATTATTTTAAACTATATTTTATTTAATTAGTATTTTTCAGAATTATTCGAAATGAAAATAGTACTATAAAAAACTTATAATATTTTTTTTAAAAAGAAAATCAATTATTTCTTCTGATATACTGATTTTTCTATTATTAAGGTTCAATAATACTTTAGTAATTGATATTACCTAAGTGACATGCAAGTCGGATGTTTCTATTTTTGACCAAACTTTTTCTATTACTTGTGACATATAGATCGAGAAGTTTTTATCATTATTAATCTTTTTAAAAAGATTATTGTAAATTTTCAAAATAGTCAGAAGACTTTTTCACAAGGAGATTTAATCTGTTTTCATTTTATTTTTTATTTCAGAAAATAAAAAATTATCTTTTTTATACATTCCATATTTA